GCTATATATATATATACTCAAAATTTGGTTGTAGAATTGAATTCTGACAAGAATGAACAATATCAGTCATGGAGTCAGACTCCCCAAGAAATCAAATTCTAACTTATTATAGAAAATGGGTCTACTTTGATAAATAAAAAGGGAGGGGATCCATTTTCTTATTTAATTTTTTATATAATATTTTATAGTAAAAATTTCAACAACTCAATGGTAGTAATTAGTTTAAAAAAACTCAATGGTAATTAATGATGATGCCACAGTGCGCACGTCTTTCATTGGCAATAAGTTATTAGAATATAAAAGTTCTCGAGATGCGGGAAGGGAGGAGATATACAGTAACTTTTTATTAGGCAAGCCATGTGGGATACAGAATCAAACTAGGTCTATGGGGTTTAGGAACTAGGAAGTACTTTAGTAACCTAACCTCCATGAAAACTTGCTAATTTTGGAAAGGCAGTCACTTTGCACCGCAAAAGGTCAGTAGTACTTATCCTAATCATTCGTAAAATCATCTCCACTTGCATACATGTGCATGGAATATTGCGACGCTAGAGTGGCATTAATATTATCTTGCGCGGGAAGTAAAGCCATGTCAAGTGTTTGATATTCAAAATTAAGTCGGAAGGGTTAGCTTTTTTTTTTTTTTAATTGTATGAAAAATTAATATTAAATGTGTATTTAGATGAAAAATTTAAATGAAATAACTTTTTTAAATAATTTTAAATATCTTAAAATCAAATATTTTATTTAGATAAATAATTTACGAAGAATTTAAAATGTAAATATTTGTGAAATTATTTAAAATAATAGAATTTTAAATTTTTTAAAAAAATAAGAATTTAAAAACTTTTGTATTTTTTATTTCTCATCTCATTTATATATTTTTGTATCTCTCATTATTAAATATTTGAAATTATTATATTTTAAAAATTGTTCCGGTATGGGAGACCGCCGCCGAAGAATCCTTGGCGGTACCGAGCTAAGAGAGCTTGACAACAGTCTCAACCTAGAACATTCGATGAGAGTAACCTAATCTCCCCGTCCCTAATCATTGCTATGTATAGTAGTGTGGCGTTCTCAATGTGGATCCCATGAATCACGCTCCATTATGGGCTCGCGATCCTCTGCATTTATGACCGTCATCTCTCTTATCCCGAGAATCGTGGGATTGTTTAAAGCCATCTCGGTTTTAGGCGCAATGGTGCGGCATATCGGGTCGGAAGTTGGGCGATGCATGTTGGGTCGGTCTCTGGACGATGTGTGTTTGGGTCGGTCCACCACAGTACATCGGTCCACCACGGTACAAAAATGAATAGTATTTATTTTTTATAAAATCTTAAAATCTTGTTCGGAGTGGTGTCGAGGGAGCTAGGCGCGAATGCGCTCATTTTCGACACGTAATGTTGCGAGGTCTGCTTCATTAGCGGTCCGCATCGCTGCAAGGTCATTTTCGTGCTGGGTGTGCATGTTTTGAAGGTCGACGTCGTGCTGTTGTCGCATCTGCTCGACTTGGTCGATCAGCCGCCTTAGGGTTGCAGCGTCGCTGTCCATGTTGACTGAGTGGCTTGCGTTGTCTGTTGCTCGTCTAATGTGGCTTCTAGTAGAAACCATACAGGTGGCCGATGAAGGCTGTCTCGATAGGCCCCACGGTGGGCGCCAAATGTTCTTACCGGAATTTGGTCGTAGAGGTGACCCGTCCAGTAAGATCGGTGAGCCTCCTTTGCCTGATGTATTGGTGCTCCAAGATGGGGGAGGTACCTGCAAAAGAGACTCCGATGCCAAAGTTAGGGTTTGTATGTGTAATAGTCTCGTATAAGTAATGCACGTACCTTGGAGTGAATTAGGTTTGCCTTGGGCCTTTTTGGGCTTGAGATAAGATATATCATGATATGATATGATATGATTGAAGGGCGGATCTGGTTTGGGACGAGATCCTTGGAATCAGGTATGATTTGCTCAAATACCGGGCTGACGTCGCGCAGCACGTG